AACAAAAGTGTCCCATTTAAAGCTGTTCATATGCACAGATTAATTGCGTATCACCTTTATAGCAAGAAAAAGTAAAGCCTTTCTTAACTTTCTGGCATTTTTCCAAGTGAGGATCAGAACGAATTCCAAATAGATTAGAGAGGTTAAAAACCCCTGGAAAAGTTTCCTTTTCTTCAGAAGAAAGCTATAAATGTCTACAATAAAGCATTTGTCAGAAGCAGAAGTAACACATTTCGAAAAATTCCCGAATCCGCTTTTAAAATTAGCCAATCATGTGTGTATTAGTGCGATTGAATCATTCTGATGGTAACTTAGTAATTCATTACCCATGTGATTGATTACGCATTTCACTAATGTGTGGCAAACCCTCAAACTCAGATTTCACAGATGCGAAACTCACAGTCATAAAGCATCCACCACACCGGTTATCCATATATTTATCTTCTAATCCTTCTTGCCAAAATGTTTGCATTGGCAACTTAATTTTTTACTCCAAAAATGCATTAAAAATAGTCACAAGCAAGTTATGATCTAAATATGCATATATTTACTCAACAACTAGTATTAATGAAAGTTAAAACATTTCTTATGTATGCTTTTGAAGTAATTAGGCTTTCGAGTAGGAATTTTATATTTCCGCATTATCTTTCCCACCGATTTCGGCCGAATTCCTAGTCGACTTGCAATTATACCTAACCAGGCGTCTTCATTGATAAACTTTTGGGTGAACAGCATGCCTAAAGCAATCTTTTCAATGCTGTCAAAACTAATTAACTGAAAGCATCCAAGCAGAAAAGGTACATGTTCGGGCCAGGGAACTTCTGATTTGACTGAGCACCACTTCTCATGTTCCTTTATCTCGAAACGACATACTTTATTTCCATGAATAGGAATACCGTGGAACAGGACCTGCCTTTCCATTGGGCTGAGATCTAGAAGGCTTCGTAGCAAACATCTTTCACAGAACGGTATATCATCGTCTAGGAAGACAAAGATTGGTCGACTCTTTCGGCAAAATGTTGCAGCCCAAGTAAAGGAGTATTGGGTTTTCAAGGAGAGATTGAAGTAAGTATCTTCATAGTCACCAAGAATAACATCCCAATGTGTTTCCATCTCTTGTTTCAAATTTTTAGCTACCTCTTTAAGTCCCTCGGGATTCAGAAATTCCCCGCCACTAACGTCAAGTCGAATCACTCGATTTCCTCGCAGAAAGGTATTATCCTTTTGCTGTCTTGGAATACCAAGTGAGAAAACAAGACCAATTCGAATACCATATAATTTGTAAGTGAAAGAATGGGTGAGATAGGAATAGAGATGTCGAAATTCCCTTCTCTTATTGAAATTTGCTATTCCAGATTTTACGACAATAATAAGATTCAGTTCTTGACTACTCGGATTCTCTGGATTGCATACCTGGCTGCTAATTGAAAGATATCGAAATTTGGGGATATTTATTGGTTTCTAGAAAGATATTTATTAATTAATGTACAAATTCACTTACTTCATTCAATGGTTTTCCATCAATAAGTCGATAGATTGCATCAGAAATATTGATCGCTTGTGGATAGACTAAGGTGACTCGAGGATCAATAGGCAACTTCCAGAGTTTATCTGGAATATCTATTAAATCCCTAAATTTGAGCAGTCTATTCTTAGCTCCATCCTGAAGAACATATTGATCAAGTACACTGTACTCTGAATAATTCTTCGATTCGGTTTGATAATTTAGGTGCAGTTCATACACCCCATTCACTTTCTTTATATCGAATGGCCATTTTTGCACCACTCTCCTATCTCGAGATACCGTATCCTCCAAAATATCGTATCTTTTGACAGAGTAGATTCGTGACCATGCCCATAGAAATAATACACCAAATAAACCGATAAGAAGAAAAGTAATCCTCTTCATTCGCCTATTATCCTAATAAACAGTATCTACTTGCACACGAAACAGGCTGAATTTATAAGTCAATAATTGAGTGTGCGTGGGTTCATCGAGGCCTATTAACCAGTAGGAATTACTGAATAAACGCAATAGTATTGGCTAATACCATATTCGGTGACAACAAGTTCATTTTTGGTATTCACGACATAAACAGCGAAGAAAGATTTCAGGAAAACTTCAGCTGCTAATTTCACCAAATGTAAAGTGAGTTACTATTGATTCCAAATGCCATGATATTCGGATTCGATAGATGGTCTAAAACTAACAGTGGTGCCATCTACTCTTGTTTAAACAGTGCACATCGATTTATAAATATCTCTTTACTTATTTTACTATGGTGCAATTTTTCCATAAAAGACTTAACTAGTGTAAAACAGTTAGCTCATTTATCACAATCATTTTAATGTTCCTGAGAATACGATAACTTCTAGGGCCATTACTATTATTAAGCAACCACATTGGGAACTTTTAATACCCTAATTTTAAATTATACTTTGGCAATTTAGGAGTCAACTCAAACTTGAGAGATAATGAGTTTCATGAATGTCAGGACACACCAAGTAATTGGTTGATATCCACAGGAAGCGAGATTCGGACCAGAGTAACTAAGGTGTGATTTCTTTCTTCTCAAGATGTGTTTTAGAAACGGGTTTCGTAAAAGAAACTACAAAATGTGATCACAAGTATTGCTTGAGTTCCTTTTGGGAGAGCTCTGCTTTGTCAACGGGCATTCTGACTTCATCCAACTATCTCTCAAGTCTGTACCTTTCGGACGAGTCTATTAAAATATATGGAGGGAATGAC